GAGTGTCACCCTGTGCAATAGCAGGAGCCTGTGTTTGGGCCGCTACCGCCGGAGCACCGCCATCCCGACGATCCCCACGGAGCACTGCCGCAGCAAGAAGTAAGTCCCGTGAGACTCACCGCTGCCGCCTTCAAGCGGGCAGATCCAGACCGCCGCCATCCGAATCGTGTCGCCGTCGCTGGTTCCAGGGGGGACCGCAGCAAGCGAAGGAGCCGCTGCCGCCGTACCCGCGCAGGAGGCAGCTGCTGAGTCACCGCTGCTGCCGTCGATCTCCCTCCCCTGCTGGTTCAAAAAGAAGGTAAGAGGCTTGGACAGGTTGTTCGCTGTCATCCGCGAACCGCCGTAGCCTCCCCTCGTCAAGCCGCCGCCGTCCAGTACAGATCGCCGCCACCGTTTGCCTGACGACTGCCGCACGCAGGAGCAGCGGCAGAAGGAGCCGCCGCCGCGTGTAGGAGCCGCCACCACCGTCCTGGTCGCCTTTGCCGTGCAGAGTCCAGAGCCGTGCCACCCTCCTGTCCCCTGCGGAAGTGCGCTGCCAAGGGGAAGAAGGTGAGATGTGACTGCGAAAAAGGACGGAAAGGAAAAGGTGAAAAGAAAAAAAAAGAGGGAGGAAGGACCCACCCGTGATTAGCAAGGTGGTGCCCAAAGTTTTTTTAATTGGATTTGTTTGGCGTGGATTAGAAGGTTTTATATGCAAGAGAGAAACCCAGAGCCACAGGTCAGACTCATGTTGGACGAGCGAGGAAAGGTTCAAAGAGGCCAGTTAGAGGTATTTGTGGTAGTGGGAGCACAGGTGGTGCTTCAGCCAAGGTTTCTAGAAGACAATGGGTCCGGAGAACCAGTATTCCAGCTGTTGAAACGTCTCCAGAAGATTTCTTGCTGACTATGGAGATTGTTTGTTCTCAGGATGTTCCAGGATCCGGTAGTGCATGTGTGCAGTGGGAGCCGGTAGGGACCGAAGACGAGTCAGGGGCAGTTCAAGCCATGACTGATGGGTTGAAACTCAAGAGAGTTTCAACAGAGTCTTCTCGATGATCAAGAAGGTTGGTGGCAACTAGAGGTGGTGGAATTTGAGTTTCGTTATCAGATTACAGAAGTACATGTGCACAATTGAAGCGCAGGTGAACACTGTTCCGTGGCTTCAAGTGGGAGATTGTTGAGTGTGAAGCCAGGAAGCTGGGTGGAAGCTAACAGGAAATTGGCAGGAAGCTACCTAGAAGCTTACGGCTTAATCATTGTCTCCCTAACTAATCTCTATTTAAGAGATGCTAATGTACTTGTAATGGTGTGCAACAAAAGTAATAAAATCCTCCTAGTTGCCCCGTGTGGAGTAGGTTGCAATTGGCGGCCGAACCACGTTAAATCTTGTGTCGTTTACTTTTCTGCAGTTGATTCGTGATTGTGTGTTGTTTCCGCATGCGTTTATTCCAACAAATACGCCGCCTTCTTAGCTTCCACCTTACTTCGGACTGAATCGCTCCACCACCAATCACCCTGACGCCTACTCCTAGAGCCAAAGCTCACACCTAACACTTCCCTGGCTGTTTCCCTGATGCAGTTAGCAGTCCGCACCCACATATCAATAGCCTCTCCGGTCGATTCCCACGCACCTCTCTCCTGCACTCGCTTGGTCAACTCAGCGATATTCTCTGCACTTAGTCTCCTCCACCGGATTTATGTGTTGCCACTCGAAGCTCTCCTATGTTTCTCCCACCTGATCATAACATCCATCACGAGAAGCTTGTGTTGGGTAGTGACGTTTTCACTCGGAATTACTTTAGCATCCTTGCAGAGCACCCGATCAAGGATGACGCTCAATATGAGGTAAATTTTATGGTGGACCCAAGGTCTACCATTAACCTATATATATAAACAAAATAAGCATTTATTTATTATTTAAATAGGTATTTTTTTTAAATAAAAATATATTTTTTTGAAAAAGTCCACAAAAATAATACTCCGTATTGACATGCACCAGTGAAGTAAGGCACATCACAAATTTTATTTCGAATTGAATTTTTAGACCGTACTAAACTCAAAGTGGTCAATACACGCATTCTACGCAGTTTGTCATACTCAGGGGTACGTAATTGTCAAATTGTACGGAGTATGTGACGCATAAATTAACTTAATTGTTTGTGTAGTTAATTATAAACATTTTCCATGTTAAAAACTTTGTTTATTGATGTACTTTGACTCATTGCATTATTATTAACGCTTTTGATGAATGGTTGATGAAAGGCGTTGTTTAGTACGAGTAGTAATCTTTTGAATTAACATTAGTATTTTAGATACTCTCATGTTATTGTGGTCTCAATTAGGTTCGGTTCACATTTAAGATGAAGAAATTTATCTAAATAGGATTAAAACATAATGACTTTTCTAATATAGGACCATATGTTTTTATTTTTCAATGTAGGATTTTTGGTCATTATCAAGTAGTCATTATTCAAGTAAATGTCCATCATTACTGGACATTATTTCTCCCACAAGGTCATTATTAAGTCCTATTTAGGGAATAAAAAACTTAAATCCTACATTAGGAAAGTCATTATATTTTAGTCATATTTAATGCAAATTTTACTTTAAGATATGCACATTCTCACATAGTTTCATAAGCTCATAGTTGGATCTTTTTTTTTTCACAAGACTCATTTCATGTGTTAAGATTCATAAAATAAGTATGAATCTATGGATCACAAAAGAATTTGTCACAAGGAATTAGCTTATACTCATAAAACAAATTTGGATTTAAAATTTTTAAACATATTTTTTTAATACTAATAATTTTATTAGAATGTAATATTCATTTATACAATCTCAATCTATAAAAACATATAGAATTACTTTCTTTATTGAAATTCAAATATGTGATCTTCTATTTGAGATAATCAACTTGATGTTGCTAGATTTTGAAACATGAATATAGTGCTAGTTTAATTTGCCGAACGTATTATGAGTAATTAGCTTATCCGTTTGGTTTGGCCATGTATGTATAGCATTAATCGTTATCATGTAACAATTAAAAAGAAAAGTTAATAATTTTTATTTTAAATTTTAACAATTTTATTTCAACAAACTTGGTGCATGTATTCCTAACACTTTGTTTAAAAGACCGCATATATATTAAACAAGAAATTACATCCGGGAGATTCTCCCTTAGCTTGTACGTTCGACGTTCCACATATGTCGAATGTACAAGTTTTGTAATTGTAAATAGTACTCAGTATTCTTTAAATGCACAATAAGTAGCATACTTATACATAATACAAATCATCTTAATATTTTTTCTAATAATATTTAAAACATCGAGATTTTATACTAATGTTTCGAAATTGTGTATATTATCACCAACACTCCAAGAATTCAATATGTTTACAATGGCAAGCCAAGAAATTTTTAGTTTATATGAACCAATCGAATTTTAAAGTGTATTTGTGACCAGTATACAATCTTAAAACATTATTATGAAATATTGATATTTTGGGTTTTATTGATATAGTTTTACAATTTTAGAACATTTGTACAAAATATGAGATTTTTTTACAGTATTGTCATAATTTTTTTCTTAAAAGGAAAAAAGTATGAATCGCATCCTAAGGTTCCAAGATTGAACTAAATTAAATTAAATTTTGATTTTACACCAATCAAAATAGAGAGTGACATCTTTTTTTTGATAAGAACATCATATTATGCATAATTGTCTTTACCTTCATATTAATAAAACTTTTTAGAAGTGTTTAAAAAAAACTTCTAAACTGCATACCCCTAACATAAAATATAGAAATTTTATTACGCGTATTAGTCCATAAAAAAGATAAATTCAATCTTTAAAAGATACGGAGTAAATTAATTTTTGATCATAGTTCACCACTCAATGGTAAAGATCAAATTAGTCTATAGTCATGTTTGAAAAGAACGTTTTCCATTAGCATTAGCGATCTGAATAAAATTTTATTTCGTAATAGTTTAAATTAATTATGAAAATACTAATTATAGATTCGGGACTAGGGAGGCGTTACTACTAACTTTATTTCTAGCTGGAAAGAGTAGAAACAGAAAACGCGAATAAATTAAAAAAATAAAAAATTACTCGCTAATCAATTGACCCTCATGAAATCTCCTTCTTCCCTCCAGATCTCCTACTTTCTCTCTCCACATTCATTCTTTCCTTCCCCGGAGAGGGATTTCTTCATCAGCTAAAGCTGCAAATCACATCTGCGTTATTATTTCGATTCCATATTTTCCCTGCTGATTGCTGTCAGAAAATTTTTATTGTTCTTCATTTGATTGATTCTTCTTCCATTGTGGATCACAGCTGGCCGCAGCAATTGATTGATTTCATTGAATTTGGGATACATTTTAGGCCACGCGTTCGATTTTTTTTTTCTCGTTTAATTTGACTGTGTAGGGGGGAGGAATCTCTAGGCGTTTGTTGTAATACAATATACAGATTTGAATATATCGCTCTGGTTTGATTCGGCAAGTTTGTGGACATAAACAGGAAGTGAAGGTTGTGTTTGATTTTGTTTTGGACCGGGAAGTCGGTGAATCCGGATGGTTGAGTTGATGCCTGGGCGGATCTGATGGTGAATAGAACATTGTGGTTGAATTGCTTAGAGGTAGTCGCGAAGCACGGGGACAAGGACAAAGCAGGCGGCGGTTCCTGCTGCATTCGTGTTGGCCTTTCATCTAGGGTTGTCGGCGTGACGCTGAAGGATTGGGATTGGATTCGAGCGGGATTAGCAATCGTGGCGGTGGAGAAGGGAGGAAGATGCAGCTGCACTTCTCTCCTAGCATGAGAAGTATAACGATATCGAGCAACAGCAATGGAGGGTTGGGTGATTTGATGAAGGTCAAGGTCGCAGCTCGCCACATTTCATATAGAACGCTCTTTCATACAGTCCTTATCCTAGCTTTCTTGTTGCCTTTCGTCTTCATCCTCACAGCTGTTGTTACGCTTGAAGGTGTCAACAAGTGCTCCTCACTTGGTATTTGATTTTCTCCAGATTTCATCGTGTTTTTTTCATCATTCCGTATCTCCTTTTCCTACAATCATTTACTCATGATATTATACTTTCTATCTGTGCTGCTTTCATGCTTGAGAAGTTTGAGGGTACCCCTTATACCATAGCTTATTTTTGGCATCTGATTCACAACTCATTATGCTATGCAAGCTGAATTCCAAAGATTGTTATCAGTTGGGCTTCATTGATTCCACTGTTATTTTACCTTCCATAATTTGATGCCATGACTATGACATGATAGATTCAATGTATTTGCACCAATTTGTGTTTGGGGGTCAGGAAGGGGTTGGCAGATTCTGTTCTTCAAGTGATTAATTCTCTTTTGATTAACAAATCATGCAATCATGCATGCAGCATGTGCTTGCTATCAATGTTCTTGATGCATGATAATTATCCATTTTGGTGGATAGAAGTTACTAGGATGTCACATAATCTCACAGAGGTTTAATGCATCCTATTGTTGCTAAGTTAATGAACTGTCAACAATTATCCAAAAAACATACGGAGTATTAGAATGCATGGTAAGGGTTCCTATTGAGAGAAATACTGTGTTGAATTGTGTGCCCTGTGTGTTTCCACTCAGAAACAGGGTTTTGGGAGGGCGGGATCTATGCAGTCATTACATCCTTACCTAGTTACCTCTACACCACAGGAGTTGGGAATGTGATTCTGTGAATACCCTCAGCTAAGGAACATAATGGAAAGTTTTAAAAAAATGTTAAAAATTGAAACTCTTGAAGTTTTATGTTAATTTTTTTGAAGTGGATAACATACATCTAATACTTAAGGGACTGAGGCATTTCATCCTACAATTTTATTATATAGTGAATGAGGCATTTCTACATGACACTGTGAACATCACAATGCACCCTTGTCTTCTGCAAAAATTTCTTTGACATACAATATTTTCAGAGACCATCTTCAAAGTACTTCCCAGCTCGTCATATTTCAATGTCAAAAGAAACATAAACTAGTGTGGAAAAAGGCCAGTGTTTTTCTTTAATAGGTGTTATTTTGTAGGCTTCTTGGTTATGGTTTTATTTATTCTTATTAATTTGTGATTTTATATTGTCAACAGAAATATCTAGATGACCAATAATGATTTTATTTTCACACGGACTTGCAGACTGTTTAGGCAGGAGATTGGGACCAAAGCTTCTTGGAAGAGCTGATGATTCAGGGGTAATTGATAGTTTATCATTCTTTTCTTTTTCATGATTGATATTTGATAATGTCACTATTGTAATCTAAAATGCATCATAACTAAATGGCAGTCAATTTATGTTATCTAAGCTTGTCTCAATTCTATTACAACAGAGGCTCGTGAAGGATTTTGTCAAGATCCTTAATCAAGTGAACTCTGAGGAAGTGCCTGCTAGCTTAAAACTCCCCGAGTCATATAATCAACTTGTTTCTGAAATGAAAAATAATAAACACAGTGCAAAAGAGTTTGCACTAGTGTTGAAGGGAATGGTAAATGCTTGTAACCGTATAAAACTGAAAATTGAAACTACTTATCTTGTTTTACTTTTTTCTCTTACTGATTTTGCTAATTTGCAGATGGAGAGGTTTGAAAGGGACATTAGGGAATCTAAATTTGCAGAGCTGACAAATAAACACTTTGCTGCAAGTTCAATACCTAAGGGCATTCATTGTCTCTCACTACGGTTGACTGACGAGTATTCTTCCAATGCTCATGCACGAAAGCAGTTGCCTTCACCAGAATTACTTCCTTTGCTTTCTGACAACTCATTACATCATATTGTACTGTCAACTGATAACATCCTAGCTGCTTCCGTTGTGGTCAATTCTGCTGTGCAGTCCTCTCATAATCCTGAAAAGATGGTTTTTCATGTCATAACAGACAAGAAAACATATGCTGGGATGCATTCCTGGTTCGCTTTGAACCCAGTTTCCCCAGCTATTGTGGAAGTGAAAAGTGTTCACCAGTTTGACTGGTTGACTAGGGAGAATGTTCCTGTGCTTGAAGCTGTGGAGACCCATAATGGGATTCGTAATTACTATCATGGGAATCATGTTGCCGGGGCTAACCTGAGTGATACTACCCCTCGGTCCTATGCTTCAAAGTTGCAGGCCAGAAGTCCTAAATATATCTCCTTGCTAAATCATCTTCGCATATATCTTCCTGAGGTAGTCATCTGTACTATGAGTCTATGACAATAATTGTGCTCCGTTTGTTTGAAGTGTTGCTGAAGTCGAAAAATAATAGGGCCATGTGGGGTTGGCACAATTTATTACAAAATATAGGTGATCAATGGAATTTAAATTAAGAAAGTGAACTGAACATGCTTTTGGGATGGACAAAAACGGAAAGTGTAGCTTACAAGAGGGGACAATGGGAGTAATAAGGGCTGGAAGAATATGTTCTACGGAGTAATAATCTAATCACAATAAGAATCTGTTCCAATAATCTGGTCTCATTAAGAATCTGTTCTAATAATCTGGTCACTATAGCAGCTCAATTTTTTCTTGTATAATTTATATCTTTTGTTCGCATCACTTTTCTCTGAACTCTGAAGCTGTTCTAGAAATTTTTCACACTTTATGCTAAATGAAATATAAAACCTCTTCACTATTGCCATCTGCAGCTTTTCCCAAACCTGGACAAAGTGGTTTTCTTTGATGATGATGTAGTAATTCAGCGCGACTTGTCCCCACTATGGGACATTGACCTTAAGGGAAAGGTTAACGGGGCTGTAGAGACCTGTAAAGGTGAAGATGAGTGGGTCATGTCCAAGCGATTCAGAACGTACTTCAACTTTTCTCATCCTCACATTGCTAAAAACTTGAATCCTGATGAGTGCGCTTGGGCTTATGGGATGAATATCTTTGACTTGCGTGCATGGCGAAAGACCAATATAAGAGACACATATCATGCATGGCTCAAAGAGGTAATAAATTGTCTTTATTTAGTCCATGATCATGTTCAAGTATTGGTTGGGTTTTTACCTATAGAAAAAATTCCATATCCCAATCCATTATACTACCTCCATTGCTATTTATCAGCCTTGGTTGATTGTTTAAGAAAATGCATTGGAGTGATAAATTAATCTGAACTCTTTAATATGACTTAAAATGCCCCCCCCCCCTGCGTACTTTTTTAACTGTCTATATACAAAATTATAGAATGAATTAAACTATGAAAATTATACCAAAATATTTGTACTAGAAAAATACTTTTAGTCTATTGATTTTTTATATTTTTCCATGTCCATTGCCAATAAAGCTAGAATAGTCGTAATTGACCCTATTTTAGCTTCAGGGTAAATAATGTACTAAATCAAAATAACACATTAAACTTTCTTTGCTTCTTACTTTCAAAATAATAGAGTATTTAATGTGCATAGATATCATAAAGGTTTGTGAGTATTTAAATTTCTTGCCAGCTGATTTTATAGAATAATTCCCATGTGATAGTGTGAACTTTTAGACAATAGAACATTAGGGTGTGATCTGTTAAACCATGTTGCAATAGGCAATTAGGCATTGTTCTTTCACTTGTTGATTATGTGATTGATCTTTATATTATTATTATTATTATTATTATTATTATTATTATTATTATTATTATTATTATTATTATTATTATTATTATTATTATTATTATTATTTATCAATTGACTTCCATTGCAATATTCTCAACTTTTGACGAGACAAGCACATGCAGGTTCTTAACCAATAATCCATTATATTATTTTTTTTTTTTAAAACTCTCTTTTTATTGATGCAGAACTTAAAGTCAAACCTGACAATGTGGAAACTTGGAACACTACCGCCTGCTTTAATTGCATTCAAGGGTCATGTCCACCCAATAGATTCCTCTTGGCACATGCTTGGGTTAGGGTACCAGAAAAACACCAACATAGAGAGTGTCATGAGAGCCGCGGTGATTCATTACAACGGCCAGTCGAAACCCTGGCTGGAGATTGGGTTTGAAAATCTCCGGCCGTTTTGGACAAAGTATGTGAATTACACCAATGATTTTGTTAGGAATTGCCACATCTTGGAGTAGTAGGGAAGATTTGTGCTTCAAGGAAGAAGAAGAAAAAAGAAAAAAGACGAGAAAGCTGCTAGAAGTTCTTTTTTGTTTTTTTTTTTTTTGTTTTTTGTGGAATTACAGTTTTGTATACTCCGGTACGGAAGGAAGCACATCAAGACTTGGCTAAATCGATATTGTCATAATTGAAGCGGTTTGGTTCTCTTCGCTCTTGAACACATCACAGAGGACCAACGACAAATGCCATAGCTGCGCGGGGACAAAATATTCATTCTTTCACTCTGTAAACCAAGCTCTTTACATTACCTTATTTTTTACTATATATATAAAAAAAAGTTGAAAATATATATATACATTTCACGTCACGGGTGGTAGCTTCTTAGTCCTTGGAAGGATGTATGGAGCTTGTTTCTCCTGTTGTGGCCACATTAGATATGTGTATAGATATGATTCTTTGAATTCCTTTGGACGTTTTTCACTAGATTGTTTGTTACATGCCATTTTCAACACCTCTTGTATGGTGGGTGATATGATATTAAGCTCCCGTTGGCTGTTGAAATCTTTAGCTTCTTTTTAATTTGGTATATGTTGTGTACATTGTTCTTGGGATCTCATTTATTTCCGATCTTTATAACATTTATTTATGTACAAATACGTGTACCAATGGTCAAGGTGTTATATTGTGACTGTGAGAAGTCAAATATAAAGATATTTTTGGGATGATAAGAATATTTTATTTAGCCTTGGTCAATAAAATACATTGTCCCTAATCTTAATATCGAGCTTAGCCACCATTACTATTAAGCATATTTACCATAGAAACCTTTCCATACCAAGACAGGCAAAATGATTATAAAGGAGTGTTCAAGATCATTACGATGTTGCACCAAAGCAGAGGATACAATTACACAAATGGTTCACAAGAAAGAATAGGTCTCAGACACCAACACTCAAACAAATGGTAAGGGACTGTGAAGAGATCTGAGTTTCAACCTGGGGAAAAGTCTTCATCATCCTTGCAAAGAAGAAATGCATCATTGCACAGACACACATATATCCATTCTTCTTCATTGGACTCACTCGGATCCGGAAGCTTCTGCTTCCTCTGTATCAGACAAGGGCAAGAGGGTGCAAATCCCAATCACATGCCCGTTAAGGCAAACGTAATACTCAATCGAATCTTCATAAGCTCCCAACCTGCAACTAGCACTAGACGGTATCATATTCGCCTGCAACATACTCCACAGCTTAGCTTTACAATAGGGGCACACCTCCCTCGGATGCAGCTGAGCGTCCCTCTTAATCAGCATCTTCTTGACCTTTGACGACCCAAATGACTTAAATATCCCCCGGAAAAACCCAACGTCCCCTTCTTCTCCTTGGTCAAGATGCTCGCATGGATCAGAAACGTACAAAACATCGCTCCTACATTGTGGCAATAGAAAGCTCTTCCCGGATGTCCTTGAGAACCGTGTCCTATACACAAAGTGTCCCGGAATGTGAATGGTGTTGAACAAACCACTCTTGGTACAGCCAGAACAGTAAATGAGAAGTTTCCCAAGTGCCCTCCAGTTCCCATCCACACTGTGGCTGCCACAAGACTGTAGGTCAAGCATCATCTTGGGAGCCCTTTTCTTGCAGAATTCTTTCCAGAGCACTCTCTTGGCAAGGTCATCAAACCATTTGCACGCACAAGATAGATCCGCGATCATCTTTGGGTTCCAGTTCATATGTTCAAAGACTAGAAATATGACTTCTTCACTCAGATGCCCTTTTGTGCATATGCAGTATGCCGAGTGACAGCACCGGTATTGTTTTGTAATTTTCATCGTTCCAAAACCTGTCAATTGCTGATGATAACAAAATTTAAAAATAAAAATAATAAAAGCCTCACCCTTTAAATGAAGCTTAAATTGTATGATCCTAGCTAGCTTTACAAGCAGGAATGAACGTGTACTCATACTACAATACCAGAAACAATGACAGATTAATAAAAGCTTATATTCCACTCAAATTTTATGATTGTGTCTGTCTTAACAGTTTCAGGTCAGTAATAACAAATCCAAATTACGCAAGTCACCAACTGTAAGTCTTAGCTCTATAATTTCAAGTATAGCTAAAAATGTGACTTGAGCCTCCAATCTAAAAGCTAGTGTTAGGGAGAGTTACACATAACATAAAAATTACTTGTGACTTGTGACTGAGGGAAATGGAGAAGAAGGCATTTCAGGAAAAAATTACTCCGTAGTTTCTAACAATAGGCATACTAGTAAGTAGTAACTCAACAATAAATAAACTAAGACTAAGCATAAAATTGCAGCAATTCAACAGTAAAAAAAACTTAGACTAAGCATAAAATTGCAACAATTCACCAATAACTATAACTTAGACCAAGCATACAATTGCAAAAATCATTCTTCAACAAATTAGTAGCTTCAGATCCATATATGATACTCAGTATAAAAAAGGCCAAATGTAGAGACTCAATTTAGTGCCTCATCAAACTCAATCAAACCTGAAAATGTAAGTTAATACATCTTCAGGAACCCCAATTTCTCTCCCACAGACGACTCAAATTCACTTAAACTAACACTGGATTGGCCAGCAACTGATTAAACCCTTAAGCAATCCATACCTGAGATTCTGAGAAGAGGTCAACTCCAATGTTCGAGTAAGCAAGCACACAGCGCCCAATCCTAATTGTGCAGAAAAATATCCATAAACACCTAAATCGAAAGACGAAAAAAAAACAGGAATCAATGGATAGATCTTAGTAATTCCGCGACTCAGAACCAGAATTCTCACCTGAGCTCGTAAAGCTCTTAGTTATAGCATCTGCAAGAAATTAGAGCAAGAAGAGGGGAGAAATCAGAAGTTCATAGTTAAAGGGGCGGGCTACCTGAACAGTGTAAGTTAAGAGAGGGAAATAATCAATTTGGAATGGCATGATTCTTCGCCATGAGAGCAAAAATTGGAAATATATTTATTAATGGTATACTATGGTCATTTCCACTTGGCGATCTGCATTTTTCTGAAGGAAAGTGTGGCGTGGAGACAGGAGACCATCTTCTTTCTTTCGCCGCTCCATTTCTTCTGCTGCTTTGGAAAATTATTGAAAGGAGAAGAAAATATATTTATTGGAATATCTATTTCAATGTCTAATGATACTCTCATTAGTAACATTAGTGAAATTTAATGAAATTACTTTTACTGTCGAGTTAAGAGCATCTTTAATGGAAGAATCTTGTAGAGTTGCTAAACATATACTCCATAAAAGATTATGTGGACTATGAATTGTTAATTTTATCAAAGAAATTACCTAGAGAAACAACTGTTCTTTAGCTAAGAACTCTCCTAAACAACTTCCACTAAAATTGCTTTAAAATCGTCCATGTAATTAAAGATCTCTCACCGTCTCAATTTAAGTCGCATGTTTTCAAATCATTTTATATGAAAAATGGCGTAGAACTAAAAAAAATTTATATATTTAAAAACTACGGAGTACATCAAAAGTTCTACAAAACTAACGATGATATCACTGTATTATTTTATCAAATGACTAACGAAATAAAGAAAGAAAGTAAATGAAGTGTGACTATATGAATAGTAAACATGCAATTTAATTTGAGACGAGAAAGTATCATTTTATCTAAGAAAGAATTGTCGAGTTTATATCGTTTTTTTATTCGCATGATTTCTCTTTTTTTAACTATTATCATAGTTTTTGTTTTTTATTTTATTTTTTTGAATATTGATGATTAAAAAAACATTGAAGGTGCCAAAGTTAAAAGTGTTAATTAGAGTTCTAAAATCTATTCGAGTAGCGTTTTCATTTTTGATGGTTTGGTGGCATGTATCCCAGTCCAAACCGAATCCAATAACCGACCAAAATCAAGACCTGCCAAAACCAGCCCATTCATTAGTGATTTGATTTGTAGTTTAAGGTTTATGGACGAAAAAACCCTACCGAAACCGGCAAAAGCGTACTAAAACATACCCAAAACCAACCAAAAGTGATCGAACATAGCCAAACCAAAACGGTTTTAAGCAACTCGCTTTGGTTTTCAGTTTTGCGTATTTCAAAACAAAATGACCAAAAACCGAGCCATCAAAACCGGAAAAAATCCTCTTTTCCTAGAACAAAACAAAAAAGGAATTTTTTTCTCTAATTCAACCAAATAATTAGCTAACAGGGGTGGTTTTCAAACCGAGCTAACAGTTAAAAAATGCAAATCCAGTTATGCACACATCATAAAAAGGAAAAAAAAAACAAGAAAAGAAACCATCATCAAAGATCTTTACCACCAATCATATATCTATCCACTCATTCTTGAATGTTATATCCATATGAATCCTCAAATCCGTGCACCTTTCAGTACATATTCTATATCTTTTGAACACCAAAAAAAATAAAAAGGAGATGCATATACACCAGGCCAGGATGAAATAGTGCAGAAAGCTTAATAGCATACCAGTAAAACAAATTTCAAGAAGAGTATTCTTCTGTGGCATCCTGTTGAAAGTGGTAAGAAAGAATATTCAGTAAAACAAATTTCTGTGTTTTGGAGCAAAGTTTTTCATTCTGTCAAGAAGCTGAACTAGCAGAAGGCTTTTTCTCTTGTAGAGAGATCACAGTTTCAAAGGCACCAACCAAAGCTTTAACCTTGCTCTTCTTGCTCTCGACCAGCTTGCTTGCAGTCTCTTCAATAACATTATTCAGTAATAAACCCTGCCCGTCTTTCTTTCCCTCCTGCACATCTTGGTGATGCCTCAAAACCACCTTCCTCGGCTCCATCGCTTCTTTACTATTTTCTCCACCCTCAGTTCGTTTCTTTGAATTTCGCCTCTTCGCAGAATCACTGCTCTTACTCCCTTGGATTTCCCTTGGATCTCTTCCTCCCTTTGCAAAGCTAAATCTCTTGTTTTCATTATGGAGATTGGCTCCATTACTGTTAGAACCTAATTTCTTGTCGTCTCCTTTACTGGTTGCAAGTTCAGATCCGGCCTCTTTGGCATCTTGTTCTCCCCCCTCTTTGCCATCCACAGTATCCTTGTCTTCTGGATTTTTTCTCACAGTCCTTCCTTTTCTAAAATTTAGTCTCCTCGGACCGCTGTTGTTTTCTTGATGGAGATTCACCACCGTTCTTCTCCTAAACTTTAGTTTCACAGGTAAAGGAGTTTCAACTCTAGCGACAATGAGATTTCCCCTTTTAGAAGTTTTGATTTGACTTCTTCCCCTGCTTTTAACTCCCTTACTGTCAGCAGATATGTTCTTCTCATCTTCTTTTCCAGGGGAAGGTGGTAAGGGAGATGAGGTGCTGCGATCATCAACAGACTCCAAAGTCTTATCTTTACCTTCCTTGTTGGCGTCTTCTTGATGTTTCCTTACAAGCCTAGTCTTCCTAAGAGTTATTCTCCTTGGACCGTGGCTTTCATTCCCAATATCCAGAACCTTACCTCTCCTAAATTTTAGTTTCACTGGTGATGGAATATCTGGTTTAGGGAGAACAGGCTGCTTGGACTTAGTCATGGTCTTGCTCGGCTTACTTTCTATGATTGAATCTGGAGTGTGTGAAACGGATGAAGATTCGGGCAACAATAAAGATTCTAGTGATGAGAGTGAACCATTAATTTCACCGTCTTGAGTGGGCTCCACATCTTCCATTTGGATGACATGCAGTGTTTTCTCAGATACTCCCTCTTTGGCCCCGCAATCAGCTTCCCCCGTTTGATTTTGGTTCTTCATAGGTGTTGAGGTCAAACTCAACCGTTTTCTCGGCTTTATTGCTTCACTGACTGAAGACTTTGAGGTGGATGAAGCAGTTAGGGGTTCCACGACTTTATTCACCCGTTTTCTAGGCTTTGTTGCTTCAATGACTGAAGACTTTGAGGTTGATGAGGCAGTAAGGGGTTCGACGCCTTTACTCACCTGTTTTCTCAGCTTTGTTGCTTCACTGACTGAAGACTTTGAGGTTGATGAATCAGTTAGGGGTTCCATGACTTTCTTTCTGCCAGGTTTAGTGTTGGCATCCCTTTCCCAGCTTTTTCTTGAACTTGGTTTCAGGCCGTCTAGACTCTTAGAGAGAGATGGTCGTGTCAATGACTTAGGTGGATGGCCCTTAGATGACATGTTCTTTATTTTCCTTTCCAACTTTGAGAAATCTTGTACTGGAGAAGACCCAACTTCATTAGGCTGCAAAAAGACTACATCTTTGATGATTTCAGCTGGTGTTTGAAAGCGGGCTTCTTCCGAATCACGGGTCCCAGTCACACTAGTCCCCGAAGCCCTTGCAGGAATGGGCTTCTGATTCAAAGGTTTTTTTGTTCTTCGTGGCAGAGGAAGGATTGTTTTTTGTTCAGAAGAATGATTCCTTCCGTATTTACAGAAATCATGGCAAGAACCGGTAGAGGCTCTGAGATAGTGAGGATTGGTAGTTTGATCACTACCGGGATGAGAGTTTTGTTTTCCCGTAGAGTATCTTCTTGAACCAATCCCATCAGAAGGAAGAACCGATGCTTCTATTTTGCTGCTTTTTATAGGGCATCCTCCCTCAGAGTCCTTCTTCGCAAGTGTTTCCAAGTCCAGTGATGAATTTATATTATCTTCAGCCATCAAACATAAATCCACTCACACAAAGTCGAACCTCCAAAGTCCCTGAAAAAAAGAGACAACTCTCACAAACATTAATATAAAAATATACAACTTGATAATAATAATAATAATAATAATAATGATGATGATGATGATGATGATAATGATGATAATAATAATAATATATCTTGTCTCTGCTTTGTGGATGGGATCTCTAATCCAATACTGTATTCCAACTGTTAGATTTGATAGTTCCATTTAACAATTCACTATGAAAAGACATGTGGCAACAATCCAGCTATTTACCTACCTAACAGAATACAATTTTGGAACAAATAAATGATCTCCACCCACCTTCCCCCTTTTTTAAGATTGATAGTTCAGCTTATTATCAGCTGTTCAATGAGTATTAATATACAACCACATGCAAAAATGCAGAAGCTGTAACTCAAAGCAACAAATGGCTTCAAACAATAAGTTAAGAACATAAACTTTGGGTTTACAAATAGAATAATAACACACACAAGGAAAGGTTTGATTTTATTCCCTTTTTTTTATTTTTGCAACAATATTGTTGGTTGCAATTACCTTCTTCATAAAGCAAAAGGTTGCTGCAATTCAAAGATTGCATTTGCAATTCAGAAACCATAGTAGCATGTCATCTAATGTAATCAACGACTAGGTTGGGCACATTTAGGTATAATAGATTTTTATTGAAAACTTACAAAAAATGGGCATTTAATTACATCACATTATATATTTCACAATAAAAGTCATACCAAACTATAACTTTATGCAAAATGTGTCTTATACTCTTATTTATAATGTTTAGGCATTAAACACAGTGCTTTTTCTGGGGCTGATGCAGTATATGAATGATCCTCTGTAGTATAATAAACTTATGAAGAACTTGAAGGTGTCCATCCATGGAAGAAACTGAAAACCTAGACAATCAACAGTCAAGCAGGAAAACCAACTGCCATTGTGCAATGCACAATACCCCATCAATGAAAACGTGGTAAATATCACCATTCCAAATGGGATAAATAATAACCATGAATCACAGAACAGAGTACCATAAACAATAAGTTTATGATCTATACGTTCAATGAGATGATAAATCTTAACACCAAAAACCCATCAGCAAAGAAACAGATTAACGATCAATACCTCTGTAACTTGTTCTTTCCAATACACTGACCGGCAACTAAGGATCCAAATGCAAACAGATCAACGTCTGAAAAAGAAGAAGAAGAAGATGATGAAAACGCATCAATTAAGTGACGACTACAGACCGCGAGCAAAACCCAAACTTTGATCGAGAAAAAGGAAAGCAAAACCGATGCAGAAATTCAATTGTCAAAACGAATAAACCCTATTCCGGAATCCAACATGACGAATGAAACGATTGAAAAACGAGACGAAGGGAGGATTCGATTTCCTACCACCTGGAGCAGACACAGCGGCGATCATATATATGGTGGAAGGAGATGAAGGGTAATGAAAAGATCTCGTTTTTTCCCGATACGATCATCGTTTGGGCGGCGATCGCGGATTTAACGGCGTGGAAGGGGGGAGAAAAAAAAGGGGGAACGATAAAGAAGGGAAGAATGGAAGATGGAGAAGAAGATGATGGAATGAATCAGCAGTGTGGAAGGAAGTTTGCACCCACCCCGCGGAAGAAGAGTTGCGCTGTCAACATCGTCGTGCCACACGTATTTACCCGGTTACCCCTCCCAAATTAAATTCCTATTTGACTTTTTCTAATTTCCAATTTAATTTCATTCATTTTTTTTAAAAAAAGTATTTAATGTGATGCATTAATCATTAATTTCGATAATAAATTTATTTTAAAAAAAGTATGTGACATGTCAAAAGTATTTTTAATTATAATAAAAGATTTAGTAAAATTAGGTTTATTTTAAAATATAGAATTGAAATATCAAATTTTTATGATATTTAATTTTTTTAATTTATATTTATTTCATGATAAAAAAATACTATCATTTGATCAAAAAAATTAAATTGTGCCAATCTTTTAGGGACAAAAGGAGGAACATACTGACAATACCTTAAAATTACAAATTGTTGAGAACTTTTTTGAAAGAGGAGAAGTACTCGATTATTATATTAATGTGCAATATATTATTATCTTTATTTAACTATTGATCAAAGTTTATTTTGATTGATTGAATATCAACTTGGGTGAATACTTTTGGAATGTTTTACTCCGTCCCAAATTAAACATTTTGTTTGAATTTTCATAGATTTTGAAAATTTTAGAGTTGAGATATATGCGGAACATGGAAAAATAATGTGAATTATTCAGTACATACAAGATTTATATTAAGATTAAAGACCAATAAAAAACTGAAAAATTCATTTCATAACAAAGGAAATAACCGTAGTATTTAATTCCTCTTACCCATAACGTACAAAATTAATTAAAGAAAGAAAGAAAATTGCGTACCCAATCATGAATGAGAAATCTTTGTTAGACCAAATCGCCTTTAGCACTTACTCCGTATATATAAAGGACATAAAATCCAAACTTAAAATCATGTTATTAAAAAAATTAGAAATACAATTTTTCTTATGATGATGTGGATATATACCCACCTCGAGGAGAATAATAAATTTCGAAATGCATGAAGCATTCTTTGAATAAATTAAACAAAAATTCAAATTTGGGCAATGAATTCCCCATTGTTCAAGCTTTGCATCATTTTGCAATACAAGCTCAATGTTTGGAAGAAGAAAAAACTGTATAAAAACACCATTGTTCATTAGTATTAAATGGAACTTCAGCTCCCATCTCCAAATATGTTAAAAACAAAAAAAAAGAAACAAAATTTACCAGGGGAAACAACTTGATTTAGTAGAAGCTTGAATATATAGCAGCAAACAATCCCAAGAAGCTTGAATCCATCAATCTCTGTCATCTCAGCTCATGATTTCTCTGACCAGCCAATCTAAGCTCGGATAAGCAAAGTACAAAATGAGAACCGATGGAAGAGCAAACACAACGGTGATGAGCAAATAGAGGGCCAATATTGTTGCACTGGCGGGTATGGCGTACAGGAGGATCAGAAGGAATATAATCACCAGTGGGAACTTGGCTGTCAGATGAATGAAGAAGACGAGTGATTTCCTGATTGAAGAATGTAGTCTCTCAAGAGCAAGAAAGCCATCCAGATGACTTTGATCATGCCGTGATCGTACTGGTTCTGAAAGGTCAGTGTGTGAGGCCCTCCTGAGACTGGGCTCAATAGCAGAATTTCCAGATGATGTCCTAACAGGGGGCCAAGATTGTGGATCATCATCCCCACATGAGGCAGAACAGGACACTCTCCTGTTACCATTCATGCTCTCAAGCATCCATAGAAGGAAAAAGTTCTTTCTGGGGAACTTGAGGTTGCCCCTGTAAACCAGACGCAATGACAATAAATTGCACCAGGGACAGGATATGAAGAGTGGGAGCTGGATGGGTAAAGAAGGGCACTTCACAACAGCCCATTGTAACCCCAGGATGCAGTTTTTGCACAGTGTATGGCCACACCAAAAAACATAGGGTATGTTTTCAACGATGTTGAAGGATTCCCAACATATTGGGCACTCTAGTCTATCCTCTCTACTTGTGATGGATGAACCTTCATCATCAGAGCAATCTGCATCGCGAGTAGGATTCCGATGATCTTCCTTCGGCCTTGTGTTCCCAACAGTAAAGTTGGATGCAAAGTTCCACATTCTCACCCAGAGAAACAAAGTAACAAAGACAGCAACAATGACGCCCTGGTTACCTGAGAAACCAAATCCAATTAAATAAATAAATAAATAAATAATACAAACAAACACACTGATAAACACTCAACGAGAGCTTGAGGGTAAAAAAACAACAACAACAACCCCAATATAATCCCGGTTTTGTTACACTATGTTTGGCCTGTGGAAGTCGAAAGGAAAATAAAAGAAAGTGATTTTCTTTCCTTTTCCTCACCTAAAGGGAAGGAAATCTGTTTTCCTTCTCTTTAGTTCATTTCTTCTCATATTTACTTTTCCTTTCACTTTTCTTTTCTTCTCTGACCAAACAAGAAAAACTAGTTGGAAAAATATTGATGTAATTGAAGGGGTCCGATTACAATTTTCAATTCCAAGGGGTATGGAATTGATGTAATTGCACACTGCAATTGCACACTAAAAACAAAATTGTGTAAAACTACACTTCACCAAACAAGCACAAAGCGATTGCACTACAATTACTGGAAACTTCATGTAATTACACAATGATGTAATAGTACTACCTAGTAATTACCCAACCTAGTAATCAGACTCTGTTATCCAAACACACTCTAGAGTCTAGCTCTACCCCGTTAAGTGAATCAAGCTGTCCTTTGAAACAACCTCAATGAAGAGCAGTGAGCGACCTGCTTATAATTTCAACAACTGGAACTGTAAGATTTGACAAAGACCCCGTGGTTTGCACCTAATCAATAGTGCAAAGGAATAAAACACGTTTCTTTTCATATTGAACAACGGAAGAGCTAAAATCAGCCTAAAATAAGCACAATTCATCGCCAAAATGTGGAAAAAGAAAGCAAAACAAAGCTCAAACTTCGCCTGATCGAGCACGTTAGTACCGTGGATTCATCGTTTCGGAATTGATCTGCTAAATCAACGATTCGACCCAGAGAAGCAATATATTATACGGGGAAAAAAGGGCCGAGGAGCTGCGATCTCCTACCTGAATTTCCTGGCGCGCAGAAAGAGGATTGGAGAATGGAGGTTCTGGGGCTCGGGCTATGTCAGAAATGCTAACTGATCTGTGCATTTGTGCAGATTAGGGACAGGCCTGATAAGGTCTTGAGCCATCTGAAGAATGAACAAGAAGAGCTTGAAATGGAAAGCCACGCCGGCACCAGCGGCACGCCGTGTTCTTAACCCTTGTTTTAACAGATTTTTTTGTAACTCCAAAACTAAATCGGACCAGACCAGTATTCGTCCAGTTTTGACTTTTGGAACTGTTCATCTAAGCACTTTGACTCATCAAATTCTCTCAATGTGTAAATATAGTCATGTGTGATCTTGTTTGATTTATCTTAACATATAGATTATTAATATATAATTTCTATAATTTTTTAATATACAAATTACAAGATAAAATGGATTAAAGAAGTGTATTGGATGGTATGTAAAAATGAAAGTGGACAAATACTCTGGGACGGAGGTAGTAAAAGACATTTCATTCTCCAAAAAGGTGAAATCGCTCACCCCGGGCGCCCCTCACCCCCGACCCGACGGGATTGTGAGAGGAGGTAAATCACGGTGACCCAAGCACAACACTTAGCTAGACCATATCCTAGTGCGCACCAGAGACTCTCCCCATTTTTCAGAGGTGGTCGCCCCCACAACGGTCGCTGCCAGGTTTCGATCCTTGGTCATTCTCCAAACTTCACCAAGTGCTTGCCACTTGGGCTACCCGTGCGGGTTAGTAAAAGACATTTCATGGATAGGAGACGGGAGTGATGGCTTGTTTGGAATAACTTTAGCCTAAGGTTTTGAAAATGTTATACAAGCAGTCAGTATTTTTAAAGTAATCTGTACAGTTAAAATTTTTATATCCCAAGTATTATTATATAGAAAAAAGTATTAAAAAATGAAATTTAATCGATCCGTCGGTTTGGACTGAAACATGATAGATCGGGCTGGACCAAAATCCAAATAAGGGGAATTAGAACACCGAAGATCAAACAAGAACCAGTCCAATATGATTCTGACATAATTTCGAGTTGGCTCAAGCCTAGACCGTATAATGCACACCTTAATTTTTTTGCTAAATTCATACTCATACTACATTGTATCATTTGTTATAATTAAATGTATATACTTATCCTTAAAAATAGACTTGTCAAAATCTTAGAATGGGTTTATCCTTAAATGGAGACATTTATCTTTTTTCACAAAAGAAAGACATTTTATTTTTACAAAACATAAATCCGAGTAAAAATGATATTCCCTATGACTATGTTTTTTTAGGAATATTTATTTCTGCTGATGATTATTGACATATTACTGATAAATCGTTTAAAGTTTTTAAGCTAGATATTCTTTTGTGAGAGTAAAATGATTTAAATAATAGATTTGTCATTTGGGAATATTTATAAATGGCGAGAAATAATTTTCTAAATAAATTGATCAAAAATAAGTATGTAAGACTAATTTTTTTTGCTTAAAAATACTCCGTAGTTCATAAGCCAGATTACAAGAACAAAGAAACATATAATCTACTGACTTATAAGTTTAAAAAATGATTATAAGTAATTTTAACCAATTTACGTATACAGAAAAAAATCCATTAATAAGAACGTGAATGAGTGTAAGGCAACTCTAAAATAGATTCAACCGAATAAATTTACGTTATTGAAATTGAAGCAAACTTAGTTGGGTTGAGTAGCGATCCGAAATCCGGTTTCTAAAAGTATTGTCGTGTATAAGCTAAGAAAGTCTAGAAAAATATTACATAATCGGCCAAATAAGAGAGTATTAGTGTGCATTTTCATTAATATTATACTTTTTGAAATTTCACGCTTAAATTAAAACAATTTATACTATATTTATTTCAACTTCTCTTTTTAATTTTTCTTATCACAGTAATTAGTCTCAATGTCTATATACTGTACAAATGTAGTTCTTGAATATATATATTTTTTTGACAAAAATAATTTTTTTAAAGCTAAAGATAGTATGCTGAAATGAGACAAAAATAACACGACATAGGGAGTATTATGCTAGAGCCTAGAGCCCCAATGAATTTTGTTTATTGTATGTTTTCGTTGATTGTTTGATAAAATAATCATATCATCTTTTGTAGGGTGGAAGTTTTTTATATAGTTTTTAAATATTTAAATTATATCTATTTTTATTTATATTCTATTTCATTAGTCATACAATTTAAAATTAGTTAAAACAATCAAAAGTAATTAAAAAACCCAATATCTAAACTTGCCATTAATGTTAAATAAAAAGGAATAAATAAAAAGGGGTAAAATATCCATTTTTTAGAAACAGAATATATTTTGCCATGATATGGATTTACATAAGGATTACCCAGAGATAACATTGTGGTAAAATCTAATAAGGTTTGTTTTTTGGAAGGTTTGTTTATATATATATATATATATAAAACGGTGGCGTTTGAGGAGTCCATCTCCGCGCAGAAGTTCTCTGAAATTTCTCTATTTCTTCAACACTCCACTACAATTTTCAAGTTCATCTCTCCCAAGGAAGAAGATAGATACACAGTTTACACCATAGTTCCTGCCACAATTTATGTTATAATCGAATCTCATTGTTTCAAGTTTTAGTTTGTAGCTCTGATCCAAACCCTATTTCGTCTCTGGAGACTCGATTTTCGATTGTTTTTTTCCTTCATCTATTTGATTTGGTTGTGGGGATTGTTGACATATGGCGACTCAGAGACCGCAGAGGACGCCGGATGATATGGAGGATATTGTCATCCGGAAAATCCTCCTAGTGTCGTTGATCGATTCCATGGAAAACGATTCTAGGGTCGTTTATTTGGAACAGACGGCGGCTGAGATACTCAGCGAGGGGAGGGATTTGAGGGTTTCTAGGGATTTGATGGAGAGAGTTCTGATAGATCGACTTTCTGGGAACTTTGTGGCTGCCGAGCCGCCATTCCAGTACTTAGTTAATTGCTATCGTCGAGCCCATGACGAAGGGAGGAAGATGGCTAACATGAAAGATAAGAGCTTGAAATCTCAGATGGAGTTGGTGGTGGCACAAGCAAAGAAACTGGCAATTTCCTACTGCATAATACATTTAGGGAACCCTGACATGTTTCCAAATCCGGCAAAGGATAAGTCCAATGTTTCTCCTTTGTTGCCTTTGATCTTTTCGGAAGTTTCTCTTCCAGTGGATGGATTTGGGAGCACTAGTACTGGTAGTGGAGTGACTTGTCCTCCTGGTTTTCTGGATGATTTCTTTAGAGATGGGGATTTTGATAGTATGGACCCAATTTTGAAACAGTTGTATGTTGATTTGAGGGGAAGTGTGCTAAAAGTATCAGCTTTGGGGGATTTTCAGCAGCCACTCAGAGCTTTATTGCTATTGGTCAAGTATCCAGTAGGGGCAAAGTGTCTGGTGAATCATCCTTGGTGGATACCAAAAAATGTGTATATGAATGGGAGAGTTATCGAGATGACCAGCATTTTGGGACCTTTCTTTCATGTCAGTGCTTTACCTGATAATACTTTATTCAAAAGTGAGCCTGATGTTGGGTGAGTTTTATCTTTTCATTATCTCTTCTCATACACTTGTTGTCACAAATTATATTTTGTCTCAGATATAATGTTCAATAACAAGAAATCTGTCAAGATTTGTGTAACTGTTTAAGTACCAAATTCTGAAAGAATAAGTAACATGATTTGATTATTTGAATGACACAGGTTCCTAAATAAAGATAACACTCAACACTACTGATTTCTGAGCACCTTTTCTTACATGAACTGGATGCTTAGGCAGGCACACACATTGAATTTTTCTTACATGAACTGTATGCTTAGGCAGGCACACATATTACATTTCTATGTGATTATAAACACAAACATTTCACATGATCCTTTTTCCTTTTTGTATGCTTCTTTTGCTTAAGAAGGTTATGGTGCTAATGAATCCCTTTACCTGTTCAAAATGTCAGTCAGCAGTGCTTCTCAGACGTGTCAACACGTCGTCCGGCTGATCTATTGTCTTCGTTCACAACTATCAAAACTGTCATGAACAACTTGTATGATGGCTTGACAGAAGTGCTCAAGTGTCTTCTTAAGAATATAAACACCCGTGATAGTGCTCTTGAATATATTGCACTGGTGATCAACAAAAATGCATCGAGGGCTCATATTCAGGTAAATATATACTCCATATCTGATTTGAAATTCTCCTGATTGCATCACATTGAGAAAGATCGTTTAAAGGGCTTATATGCAGGTGAGTTTATATGTGGTGACAAAATACCACTGTATCTTAAGTACTTAAACATGTTTCTTCTCTACATTTTCCTTTGAACATACCCATCACTTAAGTTTTGGCTCCATCTTTTTCTCCACCTGAGCTTATAATTTAGTCTTTGTTGATTAATCTGATGGCAGGTTGATCCATTATCCTGTGCTAGTTCAGGTATGTTCGTGAATCTGAGTGCAGTTATGCTTCGGCTTTGCGAGCCATTTTTAGATCACAATTTGTCAAAAAGGGACAAGATTGATCCTAGCTATGTGTTTTACAGTGAACGCTTGAATTTTAGGTAAAATCATTGTTCTCTTTTATCTAAACTTCAACACTGTCATTGTTTCCATCCAGACTTTCTTTTTATTGACTGTAACTCTTATTTAATGCCTGTGACACATACTAGGGATCTAACTTCTTTACACGCATCATCTGAAGAAGTCTCTGAATGGATAAGTAGAAGTAGACCTGGAGAAACGGATACCTCTAAAGAAAGTCATGGTGGCGAGTTCAGGTTGTTATTACCACAGGAATCTACAATCTCTGTGAATAATACAGTGGGATCTTCTATTCTGCATGATAACAAAACAAAACCCAATTCCACCGAGAAAGATAAATATTCATTCATTTGTGAATGCTTCTTCATGACATCAAGGGTCCTTAATCTAGGCCTGTTAAAAGCATTTTCAGACATCAAACATCTCGTTCAGGTACACATTTTTTCAAAGGGAAATTTTATTTTATTGTGAAGAAATTTCAGATCACACAATATCGTAGAAGACATGCTGGTTTGTTGTCTTATATAGTGAAAGTTGAAACGATGTACTTTCTTAATCTAACAAATTATCTTCCAGGACATTTCAAAATGCGAAGATAGTTTATCTACGTTAAAAGCGATGGCCGAACAATCACAAGTTTCCCAGTTTCAGAATGACATAGCACGCCTTGAGAAAGAACTTGAGCTGTATAATCAGGAGAAATTATGCTATGAAGCTCAAATACTCAGGGTATTTGCTTCTCTCGCCTACTTGCCTCAACTTGTGGAAAGATTACTACTCTGTTATCTGTTGTTTGACTTAAAATGCACATGCGTTTTGCTTTCTCATTTTCAGGATGGAGGGCTTATTCAACGTGCATTGTCATTCTATAGGTTAATGGTCGTTTGGTTGGTCGACATTGCTGGGGGATTCCATATGCCTCTAGCATCAACCTGTCCTATGGAATTTGCCTCATTGCCTGAGCACTTTGTGGAAGATGCCATGGAGTTGCTTATTTATGCTTCTAGAGTACCTAGAGCTTTGGATGGTATAATTCTGGTATGTCGAATCATATCTAGTTTCTATGTACCGGTATGTTGGCTACTTGTGTGGTGATCGCATGTCACGTAATATTTGTATGACTTGACAGGATGACTTCATGAACTTCATCATCATGTTCATGGGAAATCCTCAGTATATTAGGAACCCATATTTAAGAGCAAAGATGGTTGAAGTCCTTAACTGTTGGATGCCCCGTAGAAGGTGATCTTCAAAATCTCCATTTGTGATGAAATATATTTTCTTATTGTGATCTTTTAGTAGCCAACATTTTGATTTAAGTTCTCTTTGTAGTGGCTCATCTGCAACATCAACGTTGTTTGAAGGGCACCAACTTTCTCTGCAGTATCTTGTCAAGAATCTCTTGAAGCTTTATGTTGATATTGAATTCACAGGTTCCCACACTCAGGTGAAGATACATATATCAATTTCCAATTAGTCTCCTTGGGCTTGAAATTGCTTTTTATTGTTTTGTTGTTTTCGATTTTGCAAACATGGTTACATTTTCATTACATCACACTATATGCTGAAAGGCCCTACTGTTGTGGGATTCACCTGGGTTGTTGTTGTTGTTGTGTATATGCTGAAAGGCCGCATCACAGTAAAAATTGGGGGTTTTTGCTTCAATTTTCTCGTTTACTTCTGTTTTTTAGGATTTGTTTGGTATTTCCGCTAGTCTTCCTGGGGGGGGGGGACAAGAAATGTACTTGAAACATGTTTTCTGTTAGGATAGAATGAGTACCATTAATTAAACAAATTCCTTATGTTACAGGTTTACAGCTATTTGATGTTTGTAGTTTCTGACCTTCAAATCTGTTTACCTTACTCCTTCCTTTTGAATTCAACTATGAAACTATTTCTTGTGCAGTTCTATGACAAGTTCAATATCCGTCACAACATTGCAGAACTTCTTGAATACTTATGGCAGGTTCCAAGCCACCGTAATGCATGGAGACAGGTCGGACCAAGAGTGTGACTTACTCTCTCTGATTTTTTTTAAATCCACCCCCACCAAACTTTCTTTGATGCTGGACTACTGAAGTGATTAATTGAAATTGGTATAATGCTGTTCCGATGGAGCCAAAATTTCACCATTTTTTGGCTTTGGGTTGTGATGGAATAAATCAAAATGGATCTCTCTAAACTGTCTGCGCTTCTTTAATTAATGAAGTAGCAGTTAGTCAAGCAATGCAACTTTCGACGTTGAGCCGGGGGTCTCTTTGGAAACAGCCTCTCTACTTTCGAGTAGGGGCAAGGTCTGCGTACACACACCCTCCCCAGACCCTACTCTTGTGGGATTTAACTGGGTTGTTGTTGTTGTTGTTGTTGTTGTTGTTGCTGTTCCAGATTGCTAAAGATGAAGAGAAGGGTGTCTATTTGAACTTCTTGAACTTCTTGATCAATGATAGCATTTATCTTCTCGATGAGAGTCTTAACAAAATTCTTGAAATCAAAGAATTGGAAGCTGAGATGTCTAATAGAGTGGAGTGGGAGCAAAGGACACCTCAAGAGAGGCAGGAGAGGACTCGACTCTTCCACTCTCAGGAAAATGTTTGTCTTCATCCTTCAAGAACTACTCTTTCCGTCCCTAATTAAACTTCATGTTTGCTTTTGGCATGAAATTTAAGATAGTGGAATTTGTGTGGTTGAGAATTATTTACTCCTAAATTAAAGATATATTATCATCCACACATTCATTTCATGAAGTTTATGTATGCACCACAAAAAGGAAAAATGATGTTTATTAAGAGGGATAGAGGGCGTTGTTATTCTTGTTGTTGTTATTATTATTGTTGTTATCATCATCATTGATATTATTATTTTTTATATTTTTGAGTGAATTCAAATGTCTGGTTGTTTTTAGATAATTCGAATTGATATGAAGCTGGCAAATGAAGATGTGAGCTTGCTGGCTTTTACTACAGAACAGATTACAGCCCCATTTCTACTTCCTGAGATGGTATATTTTGCTTTCTAATTTCTTGTCAAAGTTAGCAGAGTTGATCGTGATTCATTATCAACCCATCTTGCTTGGTTTCGTTTCAGGTGGAGAGAGTTGCCAGCATGTTGAATTATTTTCTGTTACAACTAGTGGGTCCACAGAGAAAATCTCTCAGCTTGAAAGACCCCGAAAAGTATGAGTTTCGTCCAAAAGAGTTGTTAAAGCAGGTATGCATATAAGTAGCTGAAATTTTGTGTATTGTATATCTAAAGAGTTTCTAGACTTGCTTAATGCTTAGTTTTCCTGGTTCAAATAATTGTTTTGTTCAACCTCGTTTGTCTAGAGACATCAAGGTGACTCTCCCAAATGGGAGGTCACAGGTTGGAACCAAAGTGAGGGCAGTAACTCTATGTGTTTTAATAGGTTGAGAATGTATGAACATAGACTACATTGTAATAGAGTTATCAGTGTTCAAAAAAATAAAAGAAAGTACTCCATGTGAATGTTTGACAAAAAAACTCATAAAATAATTGTGGATTTTGAAGATTGTCAGAATATATGTGCATTTGGCTAGAGGAGATACAGAGAATATCTTCCCCACTGCAATCACTAAAGATGGCCGTTCATACAATGAACAGGTATAATTACTTATTTAGAAAATACCAAAGTATCGTTTGTTTGGCCTCCAAATGTACCCAATAGTGGCTGCGTTTTGACATAACAATTTGAATTTTGTCCAGTTGTTTAGTGCTGCAGCTGATGTCCTTAGAAGAATTGGTGAAGATGGAAGGATCATACAGGAGTTTATTGACCTTGGTGCTAAAGCCAAAGTTGCAGAGTCAGCCGCCATGGACACTGAAGCTGCTCTTGGAGACATTCCTGAGGAATTCCTCGATCCAATTCAAGTATGTTTCCATACCTTGGGGGCAAGATTGTTCTGAAATAGGCTTGTTTTGTTACATTTGACAGCTTTTTTGAATGTTCCATTGTAATGCTTTGTTTGGATATATGCAGTATACTTTGATGAGGGATCCAGTTATTCTGCCCTCGTCAAAGATCACGGTCGATTTGCCTGTCATCCAGCGGCATCTTCTGAGCCATAGTGTATGTATACCATCCCTCTTTCTTCTGTTTAGTACCTGTTTTGTTTTCCTGTAGCATGCTTTTACCAAATCCAACCTTTTTTCAACCAAACATATGACTTTTACCAACTTAGTTCATTTGACTGCTATATTGCCATTGGATTTCTGGATTACAGTCGGACCCGTTCAACCGTTCTCATCTAACTGCGGATATGTTGATTCCAAACACCGAGCTTAAGGCCAAGATTGAAGAATACATTCGGTCCCATCAACCAAAACCGCAATGAGAAGATTTGGAAATGCAGAGCACAAAAACATCAAACCAGACGCCAGACAAAAACGGACACTTCAACCTTGATTGATCAGGTGAGGTAGATTTAGACTGCCCTGATATCTATCTGTAAATTATACCCCCCCCCCAAAGAACTTGTATCATTCGGATTCTTCCCCTTGTGCAGCTTGCATGCTGAATGGTAATTAATATAGCTTTCTTTAACTCTTCCTCTTATGTAGTAGTAGTAGTCTTTCTTTCGAGTTCATCGACGGTTAACTCGAGTTAATTTATCTGGGCTATGATGCATTCCTGTTTTATGTAATAAAAGTCTCGTTTAGATGCGTCATTGGTGTGGGAAGAAAGTTGGGAACAAATTTGTAGCTTTTCAACCAGCCTATTATTCACTGCAGACTAAATGAAAAAGATGATGTTTGTAGCATTATTGAAATGTTGACAGGGGATTTCATGTTCTTACAATGTTATTTTGTTGCCAACTCAGCAAAATGCATGATACGTAGTAGTATATAAATTGATAATTAATTTTAAAAAAAACTTGAAAAAAAATTGAAGTGTAGTTTGGCTCTCGCCGGTTTAAAATTGAAAAAGTAAAATACGGTTAAGTTGGAAATTAGGAATGTGTATATTTCATTGGATTAATTGGGAATAATACTTTAGACATATATTAGAAAATTATGAAGATAAAATATTATTCTTTCCATCTCAAATTGAATTGTTTGTTTACTATTCACACTTACGGAGTAAATTTTGTTCATTTTCTATCCCTATTTTTATTAGTCATTTAATAAAGTAAAATAATCTTGTCATCATTAGTTTTATAGATATTTTGGTATAATGTTTTCATATGTAATTTCTACACTATTTTTAATAGAAAATAATTTGAAAATAATTTCATTCAAACGTCATAAACCTAAATAGACACTACGAATTAGGATGAAGAAAATTTAAAGTATTTCATATTTATATATTGGACAAGTCGCAATGAGAGAATGGTCAAACAATTTGAACGAAGTATTTAAAATTATGTTTATTTTCGAAGTATAAAAAATGAAAATAAAAGTGTAAAAAATAAAAATAAATTTTGGTTGACAATAATTTTAAAAAATACATAGAGTGACAATAAAGTGGAATTACGGATATCACTTTTTTATAAAAATTTATCAAATGGTCCCTGAAAAAATCAAAGCTATCAAAAAAGTTAAAATAGTAATCGTAACAAATGTTTTTGGACGAAGGATTGAAGGAGTATAAGTGACATGAATATTCTCTTGGGGAAAGATTGTTTACCTTTCCACTCTTTAATTTATTAATTATTGTTATTTGATTCATTAAACTAATTTAGACTGGTATTTAAAATATTATTTGATTCAATTTAGGATGCTAAGGTTAATATATTAATTCTGAAAACATTAATACTAAAGGTTACCGTTGAATAATCTTTTCAAAACGCGCTGATCTATACGTTGATCTTCACCATTTTCAATTCTGACTCAGTATCATATCAACTTTCCAAAATAAGCATCTCAAAAATTAAGTTTATTTTTTCATTTTTCATAAAATACAATATTATACGAAGTATGTATTCTTTAATTATTTTTTCTAACTTTCCATTATTTTTGAAATTCTCTTTTATGTCAACAAATTTTTGTCACTCTTTTTTTAGTTTTCAACATTTTTAAAAAATTCAAAAGAGTCAAATCCAAAAGTTTATTCGGTGGGAGGAGAAGTCTATCAATGGTCAATTCTTTTTGGGCGGGTACCAAACACTTTCACAAGATCGTCAATTCTTCAAACACTTTTCCGTACAAGGGGTCTTGTGATTGAAAAAAATTGAAATTTGACATCATCTGCGAAACAATCGGCATCTTTGCCGCGATAAGCCCGCCAAAGAATTTCTGTGTGTGGGGATTGCAGTTTACTCGTGTAGTGGGCAAAAGAATGCGGAGGTTTGCATAAAATCACCAGAGATTGCGCCGCCGCACAGTTTCTTTTTTCCGATAAAGCATCGCCGGGAAATGGGCGATAGCACAGAGGCGGTTTCTGCGGATTCCGGCCGTTCCCCCGCCGCCCTTACCATCCCAGACCGAGCTTTTTTCGATTCCCTCTTCCCCGCACCCGTTTTCAGCCCGGGACCCATGACTCCCATTTCCAGCTTCTTCCCCGACTCTCCCGTCTGCTCTTTCTCTCAGTTGCTCGCTGGAGCCATGGCGTCCCCGCTCGCAAAACCGAGTCTTGTCGCCTGCAACTCAACCGGCTTAATGCTATCCCCTCCTTTCAGTCCTTCCGGCTTGCTGAACTCGCCCGGGTTTCCCTCTCCACTCCAGGTAATTTGCTGGGCTCTTTTTTCCAACCAATTGCTTAATTTTACAATTATCAATTAGACTGTTAATTGCAGATCTTTTCGCTGTTTCAAGCTTTATTACTGATAACTAATATGTGTTGATGAATGGAATTTAAATTGGGAAAAGGATATGGGGATTTCAAATTTCACAGAAAACATTTAGGGTCCGTTTGGATCAAATTTCGATACTCCATTTGGAATCAATGATAGGGTTTAGAAGTTGTTAGGGTATGAAAATTGATTCCGGTGTATAAAACATGCCACTAGTGTTCACAAGAAACAAGAACAACAACAACAATCCCATGGAATTCCAAGATTTTTTTTGAAAAGCTTAACAAAAGCTTGTTTCTTTAATGATGGGTTAGGTTAATCTGGCATTGGCGACTTAGTTCTCAAGAACAAGAAACTTGGTTTATTCAATAGCATCATTGTGATTTGTTTGTGTTTTGGATTTCAATCAGAGTCCATTTGGGATGTCCCACCAGCAGGCTCTGGCTCACGTCACAGCTCAGGCGGCATTCAACCACTCTTACAAACAAATGCAAGCCGAGTATCAACATTTGAAAAAGGAGACAAAAGAACTTCCCCAAACAGACCCTAAAATCAATTCTACTGTTATTGAGAATCCTGCTAGCGATGGTTATAACTGGAGGAAATATGGGCAGAAACTGGTCAAGGGAAGTGAGTGTCCGCGAAGCTACTATAGATGCTCACATTTGGACTGCGCTGTTAAAAAGAAAGTCGAACGGTCCACAGATGGACGCATAATTGATGTCTCGTACAATGGGGAGCATAACCATGAGCTACCTAAGTCAAACAAGCGAAAGCAAGATGAATGCAGAAGTGACGAAATTGGAGTACCCACCAAACTAGTCATGGTGGCTTGTAAAAGTGATGAAGTGGAGGGAGCAGCTAAGGTGTTAGATGAGGAGGAAGAAGATGAAGAAGAAGATGATGATGATGCTCCAAACACAGAGACAAAGTATGCATTTGATATGTTTCATTAATTGGTTAATTACATTTGTCTCCCCGATCCCTTAGGTTTTGCGAATTACCAAAATGTCCCTTGTTTGGGTTCAGGTTTTGCCAGTTTATCTACATTCACCTATGTTCATCTCAATCCAAAAGGAAGCATCAATGTTTCCAAAAAAATGTTAATAAGACCCTCCACCATCCTGATATTTCACAAAATGCCACTGAAGTAATGGTATTGTTGCAAAGAGTCTTTTTGATGGAATGGCTCAAATATTTTAGTCAATAAACTGTGTTAAAGATAATGGAATATATGAAGTTTCTTTATTATTATTATTATTAATATCATTAATTCTATGATATTTCAGTGTTAAAAGGTCATTTGCCGAAAACCAGAAAGGCAATGGCACATGTGTTTTACCTCCATTGCACAAGACATGTGTGGAACCCAAGACTGTTTTGCAGATGAGAAGTGCAGTTGACCTTTGGAATGATGGATATAAGTGGCGTAAATACGGACAAAAAGTTGTGAAGGGGAATTCTAATCCAAGGTATCTCATTCTTATAATGTTGTCAATACTCAGTTGTGTGATTGTTAAGCTCCATTTAGGAGATAGTTTTTACCATACAGTTCTTTAGACTCATCTTTTGGGGTCATTTGGATGCGCACCATTCTAAAAGCCTTGGTTCGAGTTCCAAATGTTACAAAATAGAGCTTTTGGAGTTCGTAGAATATTTTTGGACACTTGTGTCCTAAGAATCATATACTCCATGTATGTACACACACACACACATACATGCATATGTACGTACATACATACATATACACACATACATACACATACATACAAGTTTGGTGATTGCAGGAGTTACTATAGATGTGCATATGAGGGATGCACGGTTCGCAAACATGTAGAAAGGGCTTTGACAGATCCTGCAGATGTCATAACTACCTATGAAGGGCAACATAATCATGATCTCCCTACTGCCCATTACCCCAAACAACCATCCTCTTCATCATCATAGCACAATACAAACTTGATATACCGATTCCATTAACAGTACAGTTGAAGAAGACCAGGTGAAAGAACAACAACTTGGATCTGTGTCTGAGTATGGTTGTACTTTGCCATCCCTTTATGGGTTTCGCCTTTTTGTTTTCTTTGTCATATGGCATTGCTTCTTTTTTTGTCGTTTGTGAGATTCAACCATTGGATCAGATGAATGTTTTACTATATTTTGAAAAGGCGCGGGGGGGGGGGGGGTTT